TTGTTTACTTCTTGCTGATGATAAGGACGAAACTAGTCCAATTGTGACGTTCTTCTTAGAATGTCAAATCAAAGTTAGAGCCTTGAAAATTATTTACTCTGCTCTTTTCCTTTTGATATAATTCAATGTCTTTTTAGGTTTTAGCCAAAAGAGTAGTTGTTATTAGGAGGAAAACGGTCGAAACTTTGCTATAGCACGGACTTTGAGGTTTGCTTTGCCTTTATTTTTCAGATAGTTTTTGATTGGCTCTCAGCGTCGAATGTATTTAACTACTAGATCAACTGATATGTTGATTTTTTTTTCATTTTTGTTAACTAGTGCTGTGTTTAAAAAGTAATTTGTTTTGCTTTTTTTACTCGATACCGTTCTATTAATACATTCAAGCTCCGTTTGCTCCATTGATATGGTTTGCTTGATGTCACGTGACCAAAAAATATACTCGTTCTGCTAGAGGAGATACATTTCAAACGTAGCAAATAACGCTTTTCCGGATTATAATAATATAAAAAATATTTTTTAGTGTTGGTGAAAAAAGTGGTTAATTTTTAAAACCGTGGGTGGATAAAGGGGGAATTTTGGGATTAAGTGAGGGGAAATTTTACATTTTCGTTTCGGCAGCACTGGTACTAAGTCCAAATTAAAATGTTTTAGGGAAAGCGACTTAAACTTTTTTTTGTGATTAAAGCTGGTTACCAATGGAAGTTTTTATATTACAAAATTAATAATTGTACTACGATAAGTATTCCCTATTATCTAATAAATAATAAATTAGTTTTTGGCTAAAATGTGTTTTTGTGGTTTTTGGAGTAAATTATTAATTATTATTTGGACTTAATATTGTTTTATTATAATATTAAAGAAAGCAATAGGACTTAATATCAAGGGTATACATAGGATGGTATAGGAAATTAAACCTTTTATTAAAAAACTAGAAAAATACAGTAATATTTTTAAAGATATAATTTATTTTATTCCAACATCAGATTGAACATATTTTGTTTTCAACAAAATTAGGATTCTAAATAAACTAAGACTAGTAATATTCCTGTAACGCAATTATAAAAAAATACATTATTGGGCCTAACTTTAAGTAGGTACATAATGAAAAATCTTGACTAATTTTCGTTTTCATCTGATTCATGATGTTCATTATCATCAGCATGCTTTAAATTTTGATAAAATTGATGAAATTGTTTTGGTACCCACTTTAATAATGTCTAAGTATGCTTATATTTTTTTAAAGCTAAAGGATTGGCTGCAAATCTTAAATTTGGAATTTCCGTAGGAAATGTTGCTCTCCTTCCCGACCGAATTAAATCGACTGATTGAAAATCCGGGTCATCAAAGTTAATTTTAAAGTATAAGATTCCAGGATCTTCTGCATGTACTTGTAAATATACCATTTTTGAAATGGCGACATCACTACCTGTGGTATCTTTTTTCGCAACATAAATGGCGACGTAGCGCTACAATACAATTGTTTAAAATCTTTGAAATCCTCAGTTTCCATGTTTATTATTTGAAACGGATTATTTATGCATGCAAATAAAAGAATGGCGTGCATCTACCTCAAGATGAGTGTGGCCGCTCAGTAGGAATTTATGCTCTATCACTTTCACTGATAGAATTTTCTTTAGGAGGTAAAAATAGATCTTAACCAATATAAAATTGCGGTTCTGGGATGGGCAGTTAACTGACCATGGAGTTAAAGTTTAATGATTTGCTTTTATATTTGACAATGCCCATTTTTACATTCCAGAGGCCATTTCATTGGCACCACGCCCAGATTTGGATTCATCCCACATTACGCATGTAGTGACTTTATTAGTGACGTCATAGAGTGTATAATTGTAGGTCCATAATTTGAGACTATAAAAGCTTTGACAATTTGTTAACACAGGAGTCGGGAGACACTTTTGCATATCAACACAAACCATTATGATTTTAGAGTTTTCCGCCACAGACTTTTGCTTATCTTCTTTTTTTAAGTTGTACCTTTTTGATGCTTCCTGCAAATGTAAATCAATATTCTTTTGTAAATTTTCCTTTTCGACTACGTTGTGTGCCTCCCGCTGCTAAATTAAAAAACTATCACACTGGTCACAGGTATCATTGTCTGGGTATTTGAAGGAATAATTAAATTATGTATTGAAAATATCAGCATACAATCATTCTTTAACAATGTGGGCTTCCTCGACATTGTTTTCTTCACACTCCGTTTTATACATTCTGTACATTTTGGCAATGTTCAAGTGACTTTCTAGATATTTTTTTGGATCTCTCTCGAGAATAGTGACTTTCTTCGACTGGAAACTTCATTATATGATCACGAACATTTTGCCTGACTAATTCCGGAATTTTGACGTGATGGTTATGTTTACCTCTTCCATCTGCAGCAATAATACCGCCGACCTCCTTTTTGTTTAAAGCTGTTGTTACAAAAGTTTGAGAAATGTTTAACGTGTTTTGAAAAAACGTTTTGCAAACACGCTCTGTTGATCCATTGATTTCAAAAAAATAAGTTCTCGTATGACATCTAGCATCATTTCTAGTCCCAGTTTTGCGTCTTTTCCTGAGTATCGCAACAGCTTTTACATGAGATGCCACAAACTGTCTTTTTTGATTGATGTCTTTAGTACCATCCCAAAATTTAGCATTTATGATTTTTCTTTCTTCTTCAGATATTTTTTCAATGCATTTAAAACGGCAAGACAGGTTACAAGAAGGACCTACATTTTTTTTAAAGATAACCTTTGCCGTTTTATGTTCCAAACCACAAATTACTTTCTCATGCTGTTCATTAATTTTCCAGTGTTTCTCATCTCTCTTCCTTTTCCTACCTTTTACTTTGTTTTCTTGGGTTTGATTCTCATTGCCATCATTATCATCTGAGTCATCTGAAGAATTGTTAGTACTTTCATAATTTGGATCGCGCACACTATCATCTGAATCTTCAAATTCTTGTATTTCTTCTTTCATAACTACCTCAACGTTAGCATCTTTGGATTGTTTCCCGTTCTCTAGTTTTCCGTTAGTATATTCCAAGTTGGAACTGCAAGAGGGGTCATCTGCAAAAAATGGTAAAAGTTATTTATTTAGACTACGTTTAGCATTTTCGTAAGATTAAAGTTGTTCGTACACCTGATGTGGCAAGTTTTTGTTCGAGATATTTTTATTACTTCCTATCTCTAAAAAAGTGGAAGGGTATTTGAATTTTATAATTAACTTTTAAAAAATTATTACCTTCTAGATTTCCAGGACATTCAAAATCGATGTTTGTTGATACGCTGGTGTCATGTAATATAATTTCATTATTTAAAGCTTCTAAAACTAAAATGTATTATTATTTTGAGCTTCCGAAATAGTAATATCAAGCATAAGTAAACATAACTTAAATTTAAAACTAATAAATAAATACAAACCCTCCAGATTTTTTAGGTTTTCGCCAGCAATCGCGACCGTATCTTCAGGTATCGGTAATACTTCGACAATAACCTTGCGATTATCTGGAATGAAAATGATCAATTTAAATCAAAGCATCCTTTTTTCAAAATTTGAAATAAAAACACAATACGTTTTACAAAAAAAAAATCTGTATCAAATTCTGGACTTAATATTGTCTGGTAGGTAATCAAAAGTCCACTCTGTGGACTTAATATTTCATAAAAACCAAACAATATTTCTGTTTAATTTTTGATATTTCAAAGATATAATGTAATTTTTTTATGTAATATGGCTCCCGTTATAATCAGATTAACTTACTTGCAATTATTTTGATTGGATATTTATTAAAGACAATATTTTTAGGTTAGGCCAACTTACCTTCACATTTTTCCGGAATATCTTCACTTTTGTTATTTCGTAGCATGCCACAAATCCTTTTCGTTCTCGAACTCATCTTCACAAGTAACTTTTTCAAAAATATCCAATAAATGTTCAATATTTTGACTCAAATTTAGCAGACATCTACCGCTATATTGCTTACTGTGGACTTAATACTGTCTATTTATTTATATTTAAGTTGAAATATGGACTTAATATTACATTTTCTAATACCCGTCGGTAAAAAAGTTTTCTACTAATTTCAATATTCTTTTATTCTGGCAGATGATGTGACTTAATATAGATAACAAAATTAAGTTTCCTTTAATATTATATGTGGCCCTTAATACTGCTTTTTATATTAAAGTGGACTTAATATTTAGAATATTTCCGAAAAATACAATTTTTTGGTAAATGTGGACTTAATACACTTTTATTCTGGGGTACAGATAAGATAAAATGAAAATAATTAATATTATACTGAAGGTATCGTAATCTTTAAATTAAAATTTAGAACGAATAATTATTGCAGTAAAAGAGTATTTTTTTACCGCTGCGCGCTTTGAGCTCCGGCTGGTTTTGAAGCTGGCTGGCTAGGAGCTAAGATGACGTAGTCATATTAAACAATGGTAAGAGTAGAGTAAATCGTGGAATCACATACCAACAATAATATTTACGGAACAGATAATAGACTAGATATTTGTGAGATGATTGATTAAAAAAAATATATTACATTTTAATAAAAAGTATCAGTGGTAATTCCACAAGAGGTGAGAATTTTGTTAAGTGAAATTAGCATAATTTGAAACAACAAAATATTTTAAAGAAAAATCTCCCCTCGTGTGGTATTTGCAAAGATTGTCTAACAATATAAACAGAACTTGTATAAACATCATTTGCTTTGTTTCCATAAGATGAAGTTAAAAGTGATGTCGATTCTATATTTACATTGTAAATTTGAACAACCAAACCATATTTTGTCCCTTTTTCGTCACCTTCTTGACAAACTTTAAATTCACGTTTTGCCGAATTGAGTGAAAACACCGCACCATTCAGCGTTTTCAGATACAGTGTATTTTGATTGGCGTGTATTGGAAATAAGGAGGATTGCCATTGGTTAATTTATTTTAATTGGAACCATTGTCCAATTAGAAGTAATATTCTATTTAAATTTTTAGCTCATCCTGGATTAATAGCGTTTTCTCTCTACACAAATGGTAAAAAGTTATTTCAGAATTCACAACGATCGACAAATTTAACCTGTTTAGATGGAATAAGAGTTTTGAGTATGTTTTGGGTTATAATTTTACACACTTGGACCGTATACACATCTGGACCAGTTTACAATTCTAAAGATGTTATTAAAGTAAGTCAATTATGTAGGTGCATTGAATTCTCAATGGATGTCATACTTTCGTTTGTATATACTTGTATCTGGACCTTCATTATTAAATATTTCTGCTGTTTTCCATTAAATTTTATAATTTTACGTCCATAATAAAAGGTAAGGATCTTTAGTGAGCCCAATATATCTATGGAGTAATGATCGTAGGCTCATTAGATATTGCATGTTTATTCTTTTCGTTAGTCAGTCTGACCAGATCATTTGCGTCTTTCCCTAACTAAAGTTTGCAAACAGATATGGCCACTGTTTTACCGAACATGGGGAATTCCACCTTTACAACATTGACACCTCTCCTCATTGCATATGTATTATTCTAAAAATTAAGTCATTTTTGATAATATTTAAACAAGTAGAAGTAGGTATATTGGGCGATTTTATGAAAGATACCACGGTGTGTCGTAAAAGATACGGTAAAATATTGACAAAATCTGTACACTCAATTGTTCTAATAAAATGTCAAATGTTTATAAAATGTAAAATGTAAAATAGTAAAATTATGGTAATTAAATTAAAATATAATTCCAAGTTTCACAATTTCGGCAAGATCGCTCTCTCTCTCTTTCGGAAGAGGTAACCGTAAATCAATCTTGTATAGAGGTAAAGACGAAATAAAATCACTCGACTTCATCTTGTTATTAAGACTTACTACTAACCTCACTTCGCTTTCGTGTCGCTCTATCACATCGCTTCCAAATCCAACAAAAATAAAAAATCTCATGAATAAAGTTGTAGTATTGTTAGCTGTATAAATAAAGAAGGGGACGGGACAATCAATTTCTTTTTAATTTCCGAAAAATGAAGAAAGGTGAGGACTTATTCTAGATACTTTAAATAGGTATTAATTATTAAACCAAATTTTTGTCACATCTAAACTCTCTCTGCTCATCGCTTCATCACCTCTAGTTAATATGGTGGTGTCATCCGCGAATAGTACAACTGAACTCTGTCTGCTCACAACGGAAGGCAAGTCATTAACATACAATAAAAACAATATAGGGCCCAAAACTGAACCTTGGGGTACCCCATTTTTTATAGCAGACAGATTAGAATTCAGGTTGTTGTAGTTTACATACTGGAACCTATCTACAAGGTACGAATAATAATAATAATAATTAATAATAATAATAATAATAATAATAATAATAATAATAATAATAATAATAATAATAATAATAATAATAATAATAATAATAATAATAATAATAATAATAATAATAATAATAATAATAATAATAATAATAATAATAATAATAATAATAATAAGCCAGAATTCTCCTGATTCCAAAGGGCAAAAAAAATACTGAAGGGGAGGAAACCTATAGACCTATATGCTTGCTAGACACATTTGGTAAGCTGTACGAGATGCTCATCAGGACGAGAGTTGAAAAGGAACTTGAAGAAAAAAACGGGCTCTCAGGGAACCAGTTCGGTTTTCGGAAGGGCCATTCAACTATACAAGCGGTTGATAGGGTGGTGACAGCGGCAAGAAGGACACGTAAGGGAGCATTTTTTGTCCTTATTACACTGGATGTGCAAAATGCCTTTAACACAGCGTCTTGGAGCCTTATTATAAGGAAAATGAGAGAAATCGGCATAAGTCCTTACTTAATTGGAACAGCCGAAAGTTACCTAGATCAAAGAAAAATTAAAATCAATAATAGGGAGAGTGAATTAGCCACTGCTGGAGTCCCACAGGGGTCAGTGCTGGGACCGACCTTGTGGAACATCCTGTATGACGGGGTTTTAAGAATCCGGCTTCCAGAGGGGGCACAAATGGTTGGATATGCTGATGATTTGGCACTAATGGTTCAAGCAATGAGAAAGGAAGAGCTGATATATATATAGCCAACTTATCTTTACTGAGGATTTCAATATGGATGGAGGAAAACAGATTAAAACTGGCACCGGAAAAAACTGAAGCGGTACTGATGAAAGGGGCAAGAAAAAAAGACGGAGTAAGCTTTGGGTTAGAGGGAAGCAAAATAACTCCTCAAAAGAGCATAAAATATCTTGGAGTTTGGCTAGATGATAAAATGTATAAATAAAGAGAATCACGCCAAACATAGGAGGACCAGGAAGTCTGAAAAGAAGGATGTTGTATGGGGTAGTGGAATCGATTGCACTGTATGGAGCACCCATATGGTATACAGTCCTAGAAAAAAAGAAATATAGGGATATGATGTTTAGTCTCCAGAGACAAATGCTAATTAGGGTAGCATCGGCCTATCGCACTATATCTAAGGAAGCAGCAAATGTAATATCTGGTGTAATTCCAATAGATTTGCTCGCAGTAGAGAGACATCTATTGTATGAAAGCGGGGAGGGTCATCTTACTGCAACTAGAAATAGAGTAAGAGAAGAAATAATGGATAGATGGCAACGGACTTGGGAAGAAACGACGGAAGTAGCACAGAGGACCAAGAGACTAATTCCAGATATAAAGGAGTGGGTAAAGTGCAAATTCAGAAAATCCGATTTCTACCTTAGCCAATTTCTGACAGGTCACGGGTGCTATAACTCGTATCTTAAAAGAATGCATAAAAGAGAAGACGATTTGTGCGGATACTGCGGAGGAGAAGATACCCCTGAACATACAATCTTTAGTTGCGAAAAGTGGGAAACACTAAGAGAGAACATACAAAGGGAGTTTGGAGAAATGACGCCGGAGAATATAGTAGCGAAAATGGTGGCAAACAAAGAGGCACACGAGAAGATATACCAATTTATTAAAAACATAATGAAAGAGAAACAAATAGACGATAGAGAAAGGGACAGACAATAACAAAGAAAAAAAAAAACAGGATAACCATGCACTGCCGAAGTGATATCCAGGAATGGATGGTTCCAGCGTGCAACGTTAAGAGAGGTGGTTTTAGTGGAGTATCCGGCCGGCCGGGAGTCTACCACACTACCATGTCGCAGATAGAACCGACGCGAAGCGCATTGTGCCCATAAATGGTTTCCACCTTCAAAAAAAAAAAAAAAAAATAATAATAATAATAATAATAATAATAATAATAATAATAATAATAATAATAATAATAATAATAATAATAATAAGGGGGTGGGTTGGCTCAGTGGTTAGAGTCATGACTTTGAGATCGGAAGGTCTCAGGTTCGAATCCCACCGTTGGCCGGGATTTTTTCATTTAATTTAATTATTTAAAATTAATTCTGATGCCTTGGTAGGATTCCCCGCTCGACCATTCACTGTTGGGTTCTAATTAACAGTGCTGTTCCTAAAGTGGCGCTGGGAAACAGTAACAAAGCCTACACAGAACACGAGGCGAAATAACCTTAGCAGTTGAAGCCAATGACACACAAAAAAAAAAAAAAAAAAAAAAAAATAATAATAATAATAATAATAATAATAATAATAATAATAATAATAATAATAATAATAATAATAATAATAATAATAATAATAAAAATAATAATAATAATAATAATAATAATAATAATAATAATAATAATAATAATAATAATAATAATAATAATAATAATAATAATAATAATAATAATAATAATAATAATAATAATAATAATAATAATAATAATAATAATAATAATAATAATAATAATTCACCCCTTACGAGTGAATTTTAACCCCAAAAGCTGAGCTTGTGCGGGGAAAGAAACGGCTATTATTATTTGCCGTGGCGCTCAAGTAATAATTAAAGACCATTACTTGTGGCTACTAAGTGATCTTTGATCCCTGGAATTTTTCATCTCCATCTGTGCTGCCCGAGTACATTCGACGCCGTTTCGAGAGTTTGTGGAGTAAACCATAACTAAAAATCTGGCGCTCGAGAACCGTCCGTAACCAGCGCCATTCGTAAGGAACCGTTTTCTCTGAGTCCAGAAAATCTCTTACAGCTTAAAAAACTAAAAAAATATTTTTTGTAAATACTGGCAAAGCTGCTCTAATGCAGTTGGCGGCAAAATACTACGCGATCAACAGGTTATAGGCAGTACGAGTCCGCAGCTCGGTGAAGCGGTGCGCCATATTTGAAAATCACGTGAGTAAACATTTTATTTTGACCTCGTTAAATCATGTTGCTATGCTAAGGGTTATGTAAAAGAAACTAATGAATCTTGAATTCTGCTTTTAACATCACCTATTCCTATGCAAATGTGAGTTCTATTTCTAAAATTAACAGTTTTACAAATGCTAAATTTCCAGTTATTTTTGAGGTTGGCAAGGTTGCCCCACATTGTGTGTTTTTGTTTAGAAAATGGTTCAAACGTATAAAAGACAAGTGTGTACACGGCATTATAAATAATATACCCAAGAGCAGTTGCATAGAGCTGTTCTACTAATTAAAATAAATTAAATAAGTTATACCAAATCATCCAAAACCTTCAATATTCCTAGAAGAACCCTAGTAAATAAAGTTAAAAAAAAAAACATGTAGGTCCTGCTCAGCTAATCGCCCCGGAGATTGAACGGTCCATTGTCGACGTTATAATAGCCAGCTCCGAATATGGCTGCCCCCTTACCATGACAGAATTGCCAGTAGTGTTGAAGAGTCATTTAGACAAAGAAGGTGTCAGCCTAAAGAAGTTCAAAGGCAATGTACCAGGTGTAGACTGGTGCAAGAATTTTATTTATTGACACAAACATGAATTATCCAACAGACAGTGCCAAAATACTAAAAAAAGCAAGAGCTGAGAAAACAGATGAGAAAATTAAAAATTACTTTGTTACTTTAGAAAGAAATGTGGCAGGAATTTCACCTGTTCCACCAACTACGACGATATAAATCTGACAGACGATCCTGAATCGTCAAAATGTATTGTTAGAACAAGGAATCAATATCCTGAATGCATTATTAACTCAACAAAGTCCTCAATATCCGTCATGTTTAATGCTGCTGCAGATGGAACTTTGTTTGCCCGATATGTTGTGTATAAGGCGGAGATAATATTTGATGCCTGGTGTATCGGGGACCCCCTGGAAC